AATCAATCGAACAAATAATAAGGGCATAATAGTAATAACCAATATAAATGTTTCACATGACAACTTATTATTATTATATATATTCAAATTTTGAATCCTACTAATTTGGAATGAGTTGAATTACAAAAAAGTAATTAGAAAATCTAAATGTTTCACTTGAGAACTTATTATTATTATATATATTCAGATTTTGAATCCTATTATCTATTATATAATATGTTCTTAGGCTATTGGAGTATTAGATTTGGAAGAGTTAAATTAGAAAAAAGTAATTAAAAAAATTGAATCAATTTTTATTATATCAATTCCAAATTTTAGACACTTATTCCTGTGGCGAATATAGCCTTAGTAAAATTAGAGTTTGTTACACTTAGAAGAACCATATAACGTCTAGGAACACTGCAAAGGATTACCCTTTTGGATGTATTGCATAGAGAGTACTATTATACTGAAAATGATATGTTAAGGTATCACAATAAATTAGAGGATGATGTTATTAATTGGTTTTAAAAAGGAGGTTGAATGTTCGAGCCGGACTCAAAATATAGGTGTATGTTACAAAAAACACCATTGAAGACTTTAAAAGCTGATCAACATATTATTTATTTTGGAAGTGTGATTAAACATTATACATAATATTAATGGAATTCTTGCTTCCATTTTTTTTTATTTTTTATTTTTTATCTTGGCAATTGGTTAGAGGTTAGATTACATGTTAGAGGGATGGGAAAGGGGAGGGTAACAAGTCTCATACCAACTCGCGGTGCTTTCCACCAACTGGACACAAAGCACTCCTAGCCTATATAGCCAATAGCAGCTATATAGGTGTGTGTGAGCTCAGCTCAAGAACAAACTCGAAAAGTTAAATTTGGACTTGACTTGTTTAAGATTTTTCAAACCCGGGCTTGACTTGCTTATGGAATATAGATAGATACTCACCATATTGGCAGCTCATCATATTGAAGCACCAGGCTCGAGTAAATGCATTATATTATATACACTGGTGCCAAAACTGATCAACTATGTGCCAGAACATGTGTAGCACGATTCAATTCAACCTGGGAATACGGCAATACAAAAACACTGGTCTAATCAAACCAATCAGCAGTTAATGGATTTTCTTTTAATATCGTAATATATATATATATATATATATATATATATATTCACCCACCCTTTTTTAACACACTCAACTTGAACCACTTAAATGTCAATTTTCTATAATTTAAATTTATTTGAGAAAGTAGGGCCAAGTATTAATGATAAATTAAATGTCAAATTTTTTATAATTTAAATTCATTTATATTATAAACCATCTTATTTTCTGGGGGATGGAAATCTAATAAGTAATTATATTTTTGTAGCAACACTCCAAACTGAGGTTAGAGATGGGATTGAAAGGCTACTTGGCCGTGTAAATGTGTAGTGAGAGTGTGAGCGAGATAGGTGTGTGTTGCCAATACATTTCAAATTCTGGTGGATAAATATTGTAATTTCGACCAAGTGAATGTGTGTTGCCAATGCATTTCAAATTCTGGGGGATAAAAATTGTAGTTTCGACCAAGTGAAGGGTTAGTTTGGTCTTTAGGAGCCCTTTGTCAGGAGCGGCTTAATACAATTTGAGGCCTTAAGCGAAAAAAAAGTAACCTTTTAATTTCCACTTAAATATATATTTAATATTTAATTTTAACGTGTGTGTATAACTAATGTAATGAGGATGAGAGAGAGAGAGAAAAAAAAAGAAGAAGATAATACGAGGATCAAAATATTTTTTGCACACTATTAAATTGTGTATTTGTTAAGGTTTAATGATATAAGAAAATAAAATATTTAGGTAAGTTATAATATATAAAGAAAAAAATTTTGAGGACCCTCAAAAAAAGATAAAAAATAAATTTTTTTTAGGTCAATTGCTAAATTATGTTGAAGTTTAATAATTAAAGAAAATGCTATAATTGAGTTTAGAAAAATTATAATATATAAAGTAATAAAAAATTATTGAGCCTTTCTTATTGGCGGGAGCTTAGGCAACTCACCTCAAGCTCGAGCCGCCCTTTGTATGTAGTAATATATATATATTGCAAATAATAGAGATTTAGGGAGCCCTAGAGATCTAGAGCGTTTTTCAAAAAGCAGAGGTGAGAGATGGGATTGAAAGGCGCCGGCGGTGGTTACAACATCTTGAGAAGGTGGTGGACAAAGAGGTCACCGAGTAGGTTGAAGGAGCGCATAGTTTTTAGCGAGGACGTGATGATGACGAAGGATGATGAGAAGCTTGAGGTGAATGACAACGAGTATGTGGTGGTGATCGGGCAGGAGGACAAAGAGGCTTACGAGAATTTGAAAAGACGTTATAAGTTTATGAGGGAATTGGCAACAGTGAAAAGCATCGTCGTTAGCAGTTTCGAGATGGTGCAGAAAGCGGTCTCCCGAAATATAGAGGCCGCCAACATGGAGGCCGCTAAACTAGCCGATATGAAATTTGATCTGGATCACACTGTTGCGATGATGGAGAAGTTGTTTATCGATAAGTTCGGACAAGAAGCCATGACTGAGTTAAAAAAAAAACACAAATGGCGGTTACGAGACGGAAATGGGTCGACCGGAAGTAAGAATTGATGATGATGGTTCTGACGAACCAATGGAACTTTTTGGTGGATAGGTTATCTCTCTTTATCTCTATAAATATATATATATATATATATATATATACTGCTATAGATTTGGCATCGGAGGGATGGCGAGGACCACAGGAGAGGAGGCCGTAGGTGTTGCTGTTGGGTTTCATATAGGAGTATTTTGTCTTGATTTGGGATTATTATGCGTGTGTGTCGTGTGATTAATAAATGTTGATCAAGTATTACTTTGATTTGGATCATTTTCTTTAATACCAGTACCACCACACCACAACTGTCACAATACCCAAATCATCCTCCATGGCCAACGGAACCGCATCAACCACCGTAGTGAGAGCACCTTAATTTGTTGATGATCATGCCTTGTATATGTGATTGAACCTAGGGCGTGTTTGACGGGCCAAACCTAATCCAATCCTATTAGGCCTTTTTTTGCTTATAGCTTGTGGTTACTAAAACCTAATCCAATCCTATTCATACATATCGGCGAAAATTGATAGGAGGCCGATCAGATTGGTTTTATGAATTGAGATGCAATATTTTTTTTGCTCGACTATGGCCCAATAAAAATGAATACAAATAAAAGGGCATAATAGTAATAACAAATGTAAATGTTTCACTTGAGAACTTATTATTATTGTATATAATCAGATTTTGTATCCTATTATCTATTATGTAATATGTTCTTTGGCTACTGGAGCATACACTCCAAAGGATTACCCCCTTTGGGATGTATTACGCAGAGAGTACTATTATAATGAAAAAGATGTGTTAAGGTATCACAATAAACTAGAGGATGATGTTATTAATTGGTTTTAAGAGGGAGGTTGAATATCCGAAGAGGTTAAAGGTGAAACTGTAGCCACCCAAGCACCAGACTTTAAAAGCTTTGAGTGTAAATATAGATCAACATTTATTTATTTTGGAAGTGTGACTAAGCCACCCAAGCACCAGACTTTAAAAGCTTTGAGTGTGAATATAGATCAACATATTATTTATTTTGGAAGTGTGACTAAACTACGAAATTCTTGCTTTCAATTTATTTATTTATTATTATTATTTTTTTTAATCCTGGCAATTGGTTAGAGGTTAGATTAGATGTTAGAGGGATGGGAAAGGGGAGGATACCAAGACTCTCACGCCAACTCATGGAGCTTCGCACCAACTGGGACACAAAGCACTCCTAGCCAATAGCTGCTTTAAGATTCACGTCATACTGTTCAAAATAGTTTATGCACGATGAATACAAACTTATATATATAGGTGTGTGTGAGCTTAACTCGATAACAAATTCGAAAAAGTTGAACTCGGACTTGACTTGGCATTATTTTGAAAAGTTTGGGCTTGACTTGTTTAAGATTTTTCAAACTTTATCTGAACCTGTGTTCAAGATCATTCAGCTTATTCATGAATATAAACGAGTCTAGTGTTCATGAACCTATACAAGTTTATATTTATGACTCTGTTCATGAGCCTTACACTAGCCTATGTTGAAGAACATATACAAGTCCAAATGAGCTTTTGTTCATGAGTCAAACTCAATATTATTCGAGATCAGCTCATTTACTAAATGATCCTAGAATTGAGCTCGATTCGTTTGCTTAACGATTTCAAGTTGAGCTTTGAATGAGTCCAACTTGAGTTATTGATGAAGAGCTCGATTCATTTGCCGCCTAGGTATAATCTCTCCTTTTTAAAAGGAGATTGGAGACTGTCGTTTCAAGCTCCACAACGAGAAATGTGTATAGAATACTAATCTAAGTTTTGGTGGTTGTTCTTTGCCATTTGATGGGGATGTAGGTTTTCATTTTGGGTTAGAGGCTTTAATTTTCTATCTTTGTCTTTTGTGTATTTGTTGTGAAAAAATACCATCAAAGAACAGCCGCAGCAAACAATTATTGCCCCTACAAATACCATTACAGATACTGACACAGATGATTGCAGAAAAGAAAAACATTAATCAAGTTGGTATTTTTTGATTGATGATAAGAGTAAAACATGTTACCAATTATAATTTCTATTGTGACACTAACATCACACATTGGACTGTGTGTCTTGTGCAATTCAAAATGAAAAAGGAGAGAGTGTAATGGCCATGAACTAGGGCTCGAAGAATTGGGAGCGTAATTTTGGCATTTTTTGTAATTTGTTAAATTATACGTGAAGGTAAAGGTCCAACTAACTAAAGTTAAAATTGTATTAGTTACAATGTTTACATATAGAAAGTGACTTGACACAATTAAAAAATAACTTTTGAAGTGTGAGTAAAAAATGGACGTAACGTGAAAAAATAGTAATTTTTAAAAATTACTTCGTAGGTCAAACCGTGTCAGTAAAAATAATAATAATAATAAATAGCCAATTTATTACAAGAAAAGATGTAGAGGAGGCGAAGCAAGTGCCACCTCTCCAGACTCCAACCTAAAGCAAACACGGTCATCAGTCATCGCTTCCCGCTGCCTCATAAGCGCACAGAGACGGGGGAGTGAGAAAGCATGGAACCTTTAGCCATAAGCAAAAATTGCTGCAATTTCTGTCTTCCCTATTACCATCATCAAACTGCAAATCAAATTTCAGATTTCAAAATTGGGTCACCTCTCCAACGGTTAGTTTTACTCCCCAACAATCCAATTCATCAATCTTCAAAGAGAAGTAGTAGCAGTTTTAGTTTCACAACGAAAAGGGTAAACTTTAAATCCATCGTAGCTTATTCTGGAGAGAAAAATCTTACAACCGGCGACTCTCCGGCGAAGGAGCTTCGCCGGATTCTCGATTCTCCGGGAGTTCACCAAGGCCCGGCTTGTTTCGATGCTCTCAGTGCAAAGCTTGTTGAAAGAGCTGGTTTTGATTTGTGCTTTACAAGTGGTATGTGGTCCATTTCATTAATTCGAATTGTTCTTTTCTTGTACCATCGTTACATGATTTGGGTTTTGCTTGGAATAGAATTGTTAGTTATATTGATACCAAATAGTTAGTATTAGTCACTCTGAACTTTGATCCCCATTGTTGGGTTTTGAGGGACTTTGAAATGTGGGGATTTTTATTTCATTCTAACAATTTTCTTTGATCATAAAACCAGGATAAGCAAAGAAAAATAAGTGGGTTGGGTTGATCACAATACTTGTTATGGAAGACAGTGAATCATGGTTGATTGATCTTCTTACAGTTTTAAATAATAGGGTTTAAATTTTTTCTTACTTATTTCAAGACAGTGGATTTTAGGATATTCCGGGGAAATAAAAGAAAAAATCGTGTTATTTGCTGAATACTCTAGTTGGGATAGTTTACTCTAGGTATTGGAGATAACTGTTTGTACTCCCAAATGTCAATTTATTTCATTGCTACTGTAGTGATGGTTTGTATTTTTTGCAAGATGAAAAGTGTTCTTGAAATATAACCAAAATAGGACAAGAACATTCAAACTTCAGTTTGTTACTTGCTCTATTGAAACGTTAGGGTTTTATCATCCAATCTCGCTTTTGGTTTAGTGTGACTAGATTTTCTTTTTTTGTTATTGCATAGTGATATGGATAGTTAATTGTTTCCTTAACATTTTCATATATTGAAGGACAAACTTATTGATGGCATTTCATGCTTTTGTAGGATTTGGAATATCAGCTGCTCGGTTGGGGTTGCCAGATACAGGACTCATTTCTTATGGAGAAATGGTAGATCAAGGGCAACAAATTACCCAAGCTGTGTCCATTCCTGTCATTGGGGATGGTGATAATGGATATGGTAACGCTATGAATGTTAAGAGAACTGTCAAAGGATATATAAGAGCTGGCTTTGCAGGAATTATTCTTGAAGATCAGGTTCATATTACTAATGTTTCGTTCTTTTTTTTCCTTCCCTGTGTGTGTGGGGTGGTTCGTTTTTATAATTTTTTGGTCAATTTTCTCTCTCCCCCTCACCTATTATTGTCTATTTCAGTATTTCTACTGCTCTTTGGATTAATTTTGACTTGGGAAAGTTTTCAATGTTGCTTTGTGATCTTTTTCATCTTGGACTAAGAGATTAAAGCAGATTTAGTTTGGTTAATATTCCACTAGTGGCCATAGTTTTATGGGTTATGTTACACGGCTTTATTGTGTGTCCAGGTGGCAGGTGCAGGATTGACTTTAGGATATGATTTGAAGAATCTTAGTGTTTTAGGATTAGTTTGCCAAGTATGGGTATTTGGATCATTATTGGAGCAGTAAAAATTATGATCTACACGTAGGTGAACGAGCTATTAGTAATTTACACCAAATATATTATTTATCCAGAAAGATATTACATTTGGGGACAAAAAGGACGTATAAACTTTTGTTGTGGAAGTTGCAAGATATCTAGAATGTCAACTGTAGAGGGATCTGAATATGTCTACTTTCCACTGTTATGTGTCATGTTGTATCTACATGTATGGTTGTGAATTTGAAGTCTCCAAGTAACAATACATGGATTTGTTCCACTTTTAAACTTTCACTTTGATACACGATTAACATTTCCTTGCATAATCTTTTGCACTTATATGACCCACTTTGTCCTATTGTCTATAATGCTGTCATTGCTAGGTATCTCCCAAAGCATGTGGTCATATGCATGGGAGGAAAGTAGTGTCTAGAGAGGAAGCAGTGATGAGGATAAAAGCAGCTGTTGATGCTCGAAAAGAGAGTGGCTCGGACATTGTTATTGTGGCGCGAACTGATTCTCGTCAAGCGGTGTCATTTGATGAATCACTCTGGAGATCACGGGCCCTTGCTGATGCTGGAGCAGATGTTCTTTTCATCGATGCACTTGCTTCAAGAGAGGAAATGAAGGCCTTCTGTGAAATTTATCCTTTAGTTCCAAAAATGGTATGTCATTTTGTTTTTTGTGCTTTGGTGTTATTGAGCATTGATTGTTGCATTAAAATTTTCCTTTATCTTGTTACCTTTGTCAACTAATTGCACGTGTATTATAGGTTTCTATCTCTAGTATAATCCAAAACTAGATCTTTAAAATGTCTTCTTTTAGCTCATTATCGTGTTTGACAGTGGATTCCTCTAATATTTCTCTTGGTTCGTCTTTGCAAACAATTTATATGAAGAATCAGCACTTTGTTGCTTTCACTACTGAAAAATCGTATTTTCACTAGTTTGTGAATGCTAGTATATTTGCTTACCTCCTTTTCTCTTCTGCTTGTCCATATGAATTTCCTTTGAGAGACTGAATTTACCATCAATATTAAACTTTGTTTCACAGTTGTGGTATATTATGAGAATTTGAGCAGATGGCACCTATTTTAATAAGACAAAACTTAAAATTACAATGACAAATTGGATTAGGTTTTACTATACCAAGATTTTATGAATCCCAAATCAATTATGACACAGTTAATTGGTTGGGGTCATTTTCAGCCCATGTTATGCTGAAAATGATTGGTATTGCAGTTTAGATGGGTTATTGAACTGGCAATGACTTTAATCAATTGAACATCATTACTCTTGCTTAGGTTTCCCCCCAACCCCCATTGCAAAGTTTTGCTAGTCTAGCTTACCAAATGACATGTTTCTGCTTCATAGTTCAGCAGTGACAGCGCTGACTGTATGATAGTGCTTCATGCCCTATCTTTTGTTTGTTCTGCACATGCATTGAATAATGGGGGAATGTCAACTTACTTATTAACGAGGATCTTTGAATTGCATGAGCATTGTAGAAATTTATGTTGCCATATTAAATAAACTGTGCCAACTAATGAAACTCTTTAATACCTGTGTAGGCTAATATGCTTGAAGGAGGAGGGAAAACACCAATACTTAATCCAATTGAACTAGAGGATGTTGGATATAAAATTGTGGCATATCCCCTTTCCTTGATGGGGGTTTCTATACGTGCAATGCAGGTCAGTTGTTTAAAATTTTCTTTCAATACAATTGCATGAAAAAAAAATTAGAAACTGAATTTTGCCAGCTTAAATGTCAAATTTGTATAAAGATTTTAGCTTGAAATCCATACTCTCGTTATTTTAAATTCTTGGTACAATGTCATGTGAGATTTTTTCATTTGATTGAATTAGTAATGTATTTGGTAATCGATTTTGGTCTGCTTTTGAGACTATTGCGTTTCTTCTGCAACTTATTCATTTGTGATTTCATTTCAAAAGGCTAGTGAGTAACTTCCATCAACTATCTCCAGGATGCACTAATGGCCATTAGAGGGGGTCGTATACCTCCTCCTGGAAGCATGCCATCTTTTGAAGAAATTAAAGAATTATTAGGTTTCAACACTTACTATGAGGAAGAGAAGCAGTATGCCACTAGCACCCGTCAACTTTCTTCGCAGAGAGGTGGGTGAAAATTAGGCCACTTTAAGTTGAAGCTTCTCTGTTGTCTTTATGGAGAACTGTTAATCCACTAAGGTTTTTTTTACCAAGATAGTTTCGTCTTACTAGGCTTCTGGCATGGTGGTCTTCCTTGAATGTACTATCAAATTGTCATGTCAGTGGTTATGGCCTAAATAGACATCTGTGACCCCTTATTTATTTTTTTATTAAATATTAGGATATGTTTCAGAAAGCAGCAATGCATATAGTATTCAACAGAGGGATCAAGATGATACAGAGCAGAGAGGACAAAGTCCACAAGCTCCTGTGGTTGAAGTGATAACTCCTGATGTGTACAATAACTATGATGCAGATGGTTCAAGGGGTTCTTTTTCAGGGATCTGGTCTCGGTCATTGAGAGTCAAAATTACTGGCAGAGATGGATTTGAAAAACTTGATGTTCGGATTCCTGTAAGTTATCTATCCTTTTCTAAGTGAACCTAGATAGTATGTAAATTTTTTTTCCCCCCAAGTGAACCTAGATACCATGTAATTGTTTTTCTTAAATCATGTTATGTTGGGAGCACAGCTCAAAAGTGACAATGCTTGCATTACATGTACAAGCTATAGTCAATCCTGATCAAATAAAGCCGCCTTTATTTTAGGAAATGTTTAGAATAGTGCAATTGGTCGGATGGTTTGGATTTTCCAGCCCAGCTGATCTGGTTGCCCTCAAACTCTTCGGTGATTCCATGTTCATCTTACATATTTTAATATGTTTATTGGCCAAAAAATATTTGAATACCCTAATAAGTTCTGAAATTCTCTTTCTTTTGCCATCAAATAAACTTAAACTACATTCTTTTTAATTACATAATTCACAAATTATTCAACAATATGATTAAAATAATGCCAACATTTTGGTTTTTTTCGAATTCATTCAACATGATTAAACAGGGTTTTGTAGCTCCTCATGATAATCTTAACGTATCTTGGGTTCTCATCTATTCTTTATCCTTCGGGTGTTGTAGAATTTATGCAAGTTGGTAATTTATCATATATTCATGGCACAACTATCTTCAGTCATGTGCACAACATTTTAATATGGATATATTTCTTGAATGCTTTATTATATAAGAAAAGAATATATGCTAATATTTCCTAAAACAAGATTTTTTTCATATTCCAAAAATTTCAGAACCACGCAAGGCAGTATTCTGTTAATAGATTCAAATTCATGGCACGAATTCCTTCAGTTATCTAGTCAACTAACATGGCATCCAGACATAAACAGTTTTGTTTTCTTCTTTTAGGCATTATCACCTTAGGAACGATTGTAATCATATCTGCCAGCAAATGAACATGTTGTCCCACCTGTTACTGTCACCCAATACATGTATTCAACAAACTTGGAGAGTTGCATGCATTTGATGTAAGATTTCATCCGTGTGTGTTCAAGTGCTTATTCAAATAAATGATTGGCTGGTTCTGAAATCAAAACATACTCCAATTTTCTGTCGGTATGTTTATGGGTCCTTTTATAATTTTACTCCAATATTCTATCAATGAATATAATTCATTCTTAAGCTTATTAGTATAATTTTGAAATGTATGTGCAACATTATTCTTTCGTGTGTGAACATATTTATATATGATATGAAATGTGGTTTAAGAAAACTGACCATCTGTCTTCCTCAGGCTGGATTTTTGGAAGGAATTACAAATATAGTTCCAGGTAATTTTATGTTTTCTATGAACTATTGGATTTGTTCATGTCTAATCACTAGTCAAATAAATGTTTAAAACGATTTTACATGTTCTTTGTACACAGCATTGGGAGGTGTAAACATCAAGGAATTGTTGGATGATGCGGCTTTAGAAGCGGGAGGAAAGCAGTTGTTAGATTTTAATGACACAATCGGTGACAGGATTCAAGTCTTCTTGGAGTAAATAAATTCCATTTGATCTCCAAAGTCGATACCGCGATAATTGTAATTGTTTTAAGTGAAATAAGAAGTTTTTTATATCAATGCAAACAGTGTATATGAAAGGGAGACCTGAAGAAATTATCAAAAAGAGCAATTCTTGTGTGAAAATTTCATAGCTCTTCTTGAAACAAAACATGCATTAAAAGAATAAACTACTACAAAGGTTATTTTAGTAATTTTGGCTGGGCTTATAGAATATAGAGATACTCACTATATTGAGTAGCATGCCATCAGGGATTACAATTAATAACTTCATGTCCATTTTATGAGTTTACAGTGCAGGAATAGTAACGAAAAAACTACAAAGCACCATCACCAGAAAATAATACCATAATTGTGCAAGGGGTCTTCGACGCACTTAATATCAATTCAGTATAGAGAAGAAAACATAATGACAAGTAAAAAAATATCTGATTCATCCATTTATATACTGACAAATATATCAATCAAAAGGATGAATTATTAGATTTATTGTTCAGCAAACAGGCATACCAAACTATAAACCTTTTACAGATCAGGGAAAAAATAAAAAATAAGAAAGAAAAAATGGTGTAAAGATAAGAAGAAAAGAGAGAACCTGATCATAAAAGTTGTTCTCTACAGTATACTACTTCACAACACCTAAAACCCCAATAGCTCACCTACATAACTTGTCACCCAAAAGAAAGGACACTCCGAGCAACGTGGAGTAAACCCCGTGACAATGAAAACATTCATAGCTACAAAAGCTTTGCTTTACAGAAAATTACAGATCACGATAAAAAGATGTAGACACCGAGCGCCAGACCAGGAATTTGTGGGTGAAACAGGGATTTGAAAGTAACATCTAGTCCACTGTCCGGTCTCCTTACCGCATAATAAACCAGCCGCTTAATACTTTCCCCCAATTCAGTCAAAGAGGTGGCTCTATCTCACCGATAGCCACTGCCATACGGTGGTTGAGAATGACCACTCATGCCCATCATGGGATTATAACCACCAGGCATGCCAGATCTAGGAGGGAATCCAGTTGGTGGCTGCATCTGAACTCCTTGGCCCATACCCATATTCATCCCCATGCCCATGTTCATCCCTATACCTGGTCCCATTCCCATACCCATGTGTTGATTCATCCCTCCATAGCCTCCCATTCCTGTGCCAGCACCAGGACCACCCATGCCCATACCAGAACCCATAGGGTTTGGAGTAGGCCTAAGGGCACCTACACCAGCACGGCCAATTCCAGAACCCGATCCCATAGCTTTACCCATGGTAACTGTAGACACAGGAGCTACCACAGATTTTTCCATCCTCTTCTCCTTACGATTTATGGCTTCAAAATCAATTCCGATATCCGCCAATGGATTTATTTTGGCTGCATATGGAGGAAAAATGTAAGTCTCTCGGTACACAAAAAAAGATTCAAATTACAAAGAAAGATCCTTGAAACATTTCAAAGTTAAAATCCATGATAACTCACATCCAGAAATATTCAAATTTACTAGTCCTCGGCTCAGAGTATCAGCCCAAACTGCAGACTTCGGCTCAAAATTTCCCTTTGCTGGTTGAGGAACTATAGCAAGCGATCCTGTTGAAGCCAGGGGAGCTGCCTGTGAAACCATGGGAGTAGACAGTCGCGCTTGTGGAAGAAAGTTATCCAGAACATCACCGTTACGCTGTGCAACTGATCCAATTGGAGTTTGAAAAGCCTGTGAAGCTGCCGGGGCTGCAAAACTAGACTGCGGGAGGATATTGGCAGTGGAATGCTGTGCAGCGGGTCCAGCAGGAGCTTGCGAAACCGTATGTGGAGCAACTGAAGCTGTAGAAACAGACGGTGCAAAGCCCCCGTAGAAATTAGTGCTTGGTGGTGCAGGTTGACCATTGGAAGCTGGAAAACCTGTCTGTGATGCAGGACCAATTTGAGTATGAAAACCTGTCTGGGATACAGGTTGGCCATTTTGAGCTGAAAAACCTGGCTGTGGTGCAGGTTGGCTGGCTTGAGATGGAAAAGCTGCCAGTGATGCAGGTTGACCAGTGTGAGGAGGAAAGCCCATCTGTGATGCAGGTTGGCTGCCGTGAGGAGGAAAACCTTCAAGGGACACAGGTTGCCCACTTTGAGCTGGAAAACCAGTCTGTGGTGCAGCCTGGCCCGTTGCAACTGTAAAAGCTGACTGTGAAGATATAGGAGGTGAAAATCCAGATGGAGGGAGAATGTCTGCTAAAATATCAGTGTTCTGGTTAATAGTAGGCATCTCCTGGGGTGAAAATTGTGGGTTTCTTGAAGGAATTTGAACACTGGAGACATTGGGTGAGGTATAATTTATGCCAGGAAATGTGTCCGGATGAGGTGGTTCAGAACTTCGATTTTGGCTTGGAAAAACATTCTGGGGCTCAACTGGGACACTGCTTGTAGAAGGGATAGCTTGAAAGGGACCATCGCCAAATGGATCTTCAAAAGGCTTCATAGAAAAGATGTACACTAACTCAGAAAATACACTCACTTTATGATTAAAAAAATGAATAAAGTTTGCAAAAGGGAGGAAACAATATATCTGAAATTATCAGAGAGACTCAGCAAGAAAACTCAATCCAATGTTAACTATGACGATCATCCTTAAGATTGGGGGAAAAAAGAAAAAAAAGATGCAATATCATTACCTTGAACCATTCAGAGATCTCACTTGGGCATGCATTTGAGCATCCCATAGAAATGAAATCATATTTACCGGGGAAAAAAAAATGAAATCATTCCACAGTATTTTGAACAGCATTTGAATTAGAGATCATTTTTTTCGGTAGGTGAACAAGAGACCCATTTGCTTTTCGAAAAACACTTAATCAAGAACATCTCTCACATGTAGAGGAATGTTCTTTGGGTTTCATAAAACCAATTTGTTTCAACATCCACTACTCTACACTCCATTTCCAGTAATGGTTCTATCACAAAATATACATTCCAAAACTTTAATGTGAAAAAACTGGAATGATATCACTTCCATGGATGCACATAGGAGCCCTTACTAATTTATTATAAAGCTGCACAAAAGCTGCTGAGGCTGTGACTATATTATTATTGTACCATGGAAGTTTCTGCTTTTTAAAGAGAATGGAAAGAACCTGATCCATTTTAGAGTATATCAATGTCTTTTATAAAGCAATTTGAGAAAATTGGAGTTCAGAAGTTCAATACATCAACAACATCACGCCTACCTGATTTGAGACAGTGGATACTGATGGTGTTGCTACGAATGTGGATCCAGAAGCAGAGTTTGCAGAAACATCAGCTTCAGAGTTTGTGATTGCAGGTGTAGCTGGCATGATAGCCAACAAGTTGGAGGAATACGATTCTGACAGAGAGCCAAGTAAATCCATTTCAGCACCATTTGTTGTAGCTGGGGCGGCTGACCATAAAGAACTCAAAATGTGAGTTTTTGAATAATGATAGGTATGAAAAAGCAGAGAAAGGCCTTCCTTGGTTTGGCCCCTCTACTATTATTTGTACAATAATTTCTGTAACCAAAACTTAGCCAATCACAGAGTAATTCATATCTGAACAGTGGAAAATTAGGTGTTCTTTAGGAGAAAATTAGCCCTCTCTTTTCATTTATTCACACAAATGCCCGCAGTCCCAAAATGTAGTGCAAGTAGTAGGCAACGTATTTGTGTTTATAACATTTGCTAAGAAACTGAAATTTTCACTAAACAACCAAGAAAAAGATGTAAAGAATAGATCCATTCGCAATGACATGCACCATAAGATAATTTGAAAACAAAACCTTATAACTAATCCTTTCATCCACAGAAATGTAATATAAGGAGCTTGCTTTTAATATATTGGCTACTTAGTATAAATACAAAAGAGAAATCAAATCATATTAGGCTATCAAATTATCAACTGAGAAAAACACCATAATTCAGGAGGGCCATCACTAACCACAGAGTACTAAAAGCTACCATTTCACAAATCATATGCTGAGTAAAATGGACAGTTCAACTTGAAGCTTCATGGTTAACTTATACAATGAGAAAATAGTATAGAGAAGGAAATAATATCAGGAAAACTTTTTTATAGCGACACGTAAACATATCCCAGACAGTGGACCCAAATCAAACAAAACTTCAAGTGATGTGTCACTTGCTGAGATGCCAATAGAAGATGATTGAGATAATGATGATAATCAGTAACAGAAGATCTACATAGATTAGTTATACAAGAAAAAGATAACTATAAGCTGTACAAAATGAGTAACACCTAATACTAATGATGGATATGATTTTCTTGTTACCATAGTGTATGTAACTAGATACATGAGAGCATATAAAATTTAGCATCTCCTGCATCATGCTAGCTACTCACCTAATGTGTGCATGTATATAATCTTTCAGCTTTTCTTATTCCATTTCAGACAAAATGGAACAGATAGGCATGCAAGTCCCTAGACCAAGCACTTATAATCATGTCCATTTCCATGGCATGCCAGAAACTTCAAATGAAGTCAAGCTAAGAACAAATCGCAAATGCCTTAGTGAATCTCCTCATAGCTGCAGCAAATTACAGATCAATTTGCCAAGCACGCGGGTGAAGCATCAAGAGAGTCTTATGAAATGTATATGCGTGTCTGCACATACTAATAACAAGACAGTGTTATAACTTGTATCCCTAACTTCCTTATCTAAATGAATTTCATTCACACATGATAGCAGGTAGGGATATGGGAGCAATTACGCTCACAGAGGCAGTTGATAGAAAAGGATACATTTTGACCATGATATGGACAAAATATGGGCAAGATTAAATTTCATACACATATCGACATGCGGTCAATCACAGATTGCCCAACCAGTCAACAAACACATCACATTGTGAAGTAATATGGTAAAGCTATCAACAAAGTAACATCAGTAAAATTGGGCAGTTGGCATCTCAGCGCCAACAAATCTATACCTGAAAACGAACCACGTGGATCAAATTCATCAATGCCATCGACTTCCTTCTTTAGAGGAGCAGGAGCTACAGAAGTACCAGGGGAGATGGTTGCTTGATTTGGACTAGCACTTACAGGAGGAGGAGATGTTTTAGAAACTGATGCTGCAGAAGTTTCTCTCTCCCTTTTAACAATATGGAAGTTAGAACTAATGCACCAAAACTCCCAGGAATATCAGGTGTAAGAAAATGGCAGGGAATCATTACCTTTCATTGTGGATGGGGCTATTAGCATCACCCACAACTTCTTCATAACTAGGAGGAGCACCAATATTTTGTTCAGAGAATTTCCGTTCAAGTTGCCTGCCGGCAAAACTGGGGGAAGAAAAAAATACAGTTGAGAAAAGATTGATTCACTCAGTCTCATTTTCAGAAAATATGCATTATAACCACCATTTTTGAAAGAAGTTCCCTATAATTACCTTCCATCCTGAGAATCATCAGCTTTGGCACCACTTTCTCTGCTGCATGATAAAACTAAAGTCAACATATCTTCAAGACCAAGACCAAAGTCCTCTGGAAGGCATAACATGCATGTTTTATATGTCAATAGAGAGATACTAGACACGTGGGGGAACTTGTGATAAAAATTTGAGAACTTTTGGAACACTACAGCCCCTTGGAGAAATTATTCATTTTCAGCACAATGAAAAATCCATCTTTCCCCAAACACCACATTCATACAAAAATCATATGATATAGAACTTGAAGAACAAGCATTCCATCCGTTTAGGACATTTTTCTAACACTAGGAATGCACTAGAGTTTAAAATGATCCACAATTATTTTCTTTCATGGAGATGTTCCATTTAGTGGAAAACAATATGCTCCCTTTTTTATCATTGGATTTCTCGAGTATTCCAAGCAACCTCCGCCTTACTTCCTTTTTTCTTTTCTGACATATAAATTTATTTTCTCATAAAAATGAAGCAGCAAAATAGCAGAACGAATTATAATTTTTGAGATAAATTTGAGATGCAAGGTAAATCACTGAAATCAATTCAGCTCTAACACATAAAATGAAGTACACACCTAGAGGAATATCGACCATCCTCTTCATTTGTGCAGTCTTTATCTCTATCAGAGCTCCTACTTCTTGAGCCATACCGGTGGTCATCAACGCCTTGATTTCTTCCCCGGTAATCGTCGTCCCTGTAACTATAGCGTTCTTCAGAATCTCTACCATAACGATCTCCATCCCGACCTTCATCCCTATAGCCCCATTCTCTCTCTCTCCCATAACCATTCCGGTCTTCATCTCTGCTTCCATAACGGCCTTCATAACGATCATCATCATATCGATCACCGTATCCTCCTGTACTCGAATAAGAACCTGGCCTATACATACCACCGGATGATGGTGTGTTCCGAAACCTATTGAGTGATATGGCCCAATTAGAAACCTCATTGGTGACAAATATCATGTAGAGGCATTGATTAAAAAATATTTATATACAATCAATTGCTTTTTCCAACTGTGCTCTCATATCCAAAAAGAATTTTAGGGTTCACAAAGAATTGCAAGCTCATTACACATGAAAAAGAAGAAGAAAGGAAAGATACTGACTACTCATGACATGATGAACAAACAAGGCATGAAACCAAACATAACTTTCAATAGATTTTGGAAAATAGGTCAACATCTTTTTCCTTCTTTCTCCTTTTCTTTCATCTGATTTAGGGTGGGAAAGAGAAAGGGGAATAAAAGCGGAAAACTGACAATTTCCTAGGTTAAAATGAGGATGGAAGTTTCAAATTGTTATCAACCAGGGTTTAAAAACAAAATAGGAAAATATCTGTGAAGCGTGCATAATGGACGGATAGCACAACTCAACAAATTAAACTTTCATAATTTAGCACATAAACCCAGTCAAAATTTTCAGACAACTGAATAAACAAAGTCATGTCACAACTATTTTGGGTCATCCAACCAATAAATATATATTCAGAACATTGAAAATTAAGGAAGCAAAGAACAGATAGATGCATAAATATGCACACATGTACACAAAAACTGTAGTAGAAAATTGTAGCAAAAAAGATTAGCTAATAAAATTCTCAAGAGTTTTTGGGCAGAGAAACTTACAAATGAGTAATTCTAGGAAACTTACTGGCCCAGTAATGATAAAACAGAAACAATATCTCCTTTCCCTCATAAGATGGTTTTCACATTAAAAAAGAGAAAAAACGAAGCTAATTAAAACAGATTTTAGTACCTCAACACTATCAAAAAAAATGAGAGGAAAACAAAAAAGAACATGAGTTGAGGCTATGGGATACTGAGATTATAGCATATTGTTCCCTTTATGAACTGACATAACGAAAAGATTCACTCAATGAACATATGGTTGGGATAAAGCATTGTTAACACTGACAACAATGATATAATAGATTAACAAAATCGCCAAAACAGAGGATACTTGCCAAACAGTCAAAAGTCAGCAGGCCATTACACAGTGTTGGTCGCCTACACGGGGTTGGGAAGAGAAGAGTGGGCACAAACTCAATGTTTGATATTATTTTGCACAAAGTGATTGCTCTCATACCCAAATCCACTTTATCACAATTGTCAACATGGTCTTTTTACCATTTCACAATGCAATGCTCTTAAACTGCCAAATTATATAAACATGAATTTATTTCAGCCACTTGAGACTCACTTATCTCTGTTAACAGCAGCCTTTTGTCGAACTTCTAGTATCCTTTCTTTATCATTCACTAGAATCACAAGACTTTGAGATTTTTTTCTGACATTGCTTCCCTGATCCCTCCCACTGGAATCAATATATTGAAAATCGGACAACGTCTATCACAAGAAAAAAATAATAATAATAAATACCACAGCAGTAGAAACCAAGACACTTTTGAGGTAGCTAGAAACTTGCAGAACATATGATTGTCAAATAGCTTTAAGGAATAGAAAATTACTGAAATTTGGTACGCATGTTCCTTGATCTCATCTATAACACGCTCTGACCCATTGGCTACCAAGTATTCCAAAACAGTCAAAGCCTGAAACATAGCTATAAGAAATTAGACAGTCGCATTATTTTTCTTTTTTTTTTAAAGGAAGTAAATTGGTCAGTTGCATTGCTAGAGCTAGGGGTGGCAATTCGTGTTCATGGGTCGTGTTCGTGTCGTGTCGATGTAAGGGTATTATACTAAATAGATAAGCCCAAACCCAACCCATTTAATAATCGTGTCAAGAATCTTCAACACTAACCCAAACCGTTTATTAAACAAGTAAACGTGTGAACCCGTTCAATGACCTGTTTATCAAAACGAGACATTTAATATTTAATCAAATACTAAATAATAGAAAAAATTTGTCATAATTAACCCAAATATTCAAACTAAAAAGAAAAATCATAAAGCATATACAAAATTTATGTTGAAATGACTTAACTATCCATAGTAATTGGGTTTAAACGGGTAACATATTACATAGGTCATATTCACAATTATAACATGTTGAGTTAAATGAGTCATAAACGTGTTACACGGGTTGAACCCCTCAACCCTAATCCGACACGGTTAAGTAAACAGGTTAATCGTGTCGACCCTTTTATGACCCAACACCGTTTATGCCAAACCCAAACCCTTTTAACTCGTATCGTGTTTGTGTCGTGTTGTCGTGTCGTAATTTGCCACCCCTAGCTAGAGCACAACGCAAACAAGAAAAGCAGCACATCAAAAAGATATAGCATTTCCAATGAAGATGGGTCAGGTTCCCATGAAGTCAAAGAGAAAACTGTAATATCTAAGAACTTTAGTAAGAATCCACCTATAATAGCAACTCATAAAAATGCAAACCTTGTACACATGCCGCCAATTCTTGCCAGTATCATTGATACGCTTCCAGATCAACACCATAATCATCTGGTATTCATGACTGCATGAATGATTTATAATGAATTCCATTGGAACAAAATATGACTCATAAATATTCTATAAAAAAAACGTTATTCAAGTTTACTAGTTTCTGGTAGCTTGTGCAATATCAGCAAGATGTGATCCATGAGGACCCCAGGGCTCATTGCTAGTAGCGTCAAGAACCTGATAAATAAGACAAACAGAAGTACTTGGGATAAGCCATTTCACAATCATCTGGTGTTACATTTTGAGACTATCCAATAACAGTTGAATGATTTTACAGAGGTGAAAATAAGCCCATAATCACCAAAGGATCCATCCTAATGTAATCTCAATTTTGCATAACCAAGTCAGTCAGAACACTGTTCAACTGCTACTTTAGTAGTCATTCGTTACCAGACAGATTGAACTCACTTGTCTACATTCACCCTAGACACTGTTAAAAATTTATGCTGGATATATCAACTATGAAAACTATTTACTTATTAAGGTGTGTAATGGAAATATGTAAAGAGAAATAAGAAAGATCTTCATATTTTTTACTTATTAAGGTGAGTAGTGGAAATATGTACAGAGAATAAGAAAGATCTTCATATGATTTTGTTTATGATGGGGACAACAGGACCCTAGAAATATATGTAGGAAGAAGTTCGATATATTGACATGATAAAGAACATTTATGGTGGAGCCATGAATAATAATAAAAGGAGGAGAAACAAGTGCTAGAGATTAGCATTAAACCTTCTTTTGGGGTTAATTATGGATAAATTGACAAGACACATTCATAGGTAGGACATAGCAGTCGTGTCCCCGTCATATCCTGAAAGTGCCCAGTCGTGTCCAACCATTTCAGGACACTTCTACGGTTCTACCCGTGTCTGGCACCCCTAGGAGAAGTGTGTGGGGTACCTAGGTGGGACCTACCAGTTGCCCCCACCTGGATTTTCTCTATCAGATTGGGTTGTATTCGGCCTACAAATACTTTTCCTTTCCAAATAGAGCATATCACCTAGGCCATTTATATTGAATCTATAGAAGCGTTCATACTTGGAATGTGCGATTCAGGCGACCTTTTCAGGATTGGGAGTTGGATGATGTCACTGGCTTGTTGGCCCTTTTGTACAGACAGGAATTGGATGGCATTGGTGTGGATTCCTTGTTTTGGGTGCCTTTTTCTAATGGGACGTTCCAGGTCCGGTCATTCTTTGTGCGCCTCTCTGGGTTTCATGGGTTGCCCTTCCCGTGGAAGACGGTGTGGCTCTCTAAGGCGCCCCTTAGGGTGGCCTTTTTTGTGTGGACTGCAACTTGGAGTAAGATTTTGACTTTGGACAATTTATGGAAGAGAAGACATATCATTGTTAACCGGTGTTGTCTTTGCAAGTGTTTTGGGGAGTCCGTGGATCACCTTCTGTTGCATTGTCCTGTTGCTTATGAATGTTGGAGTCTTTTGCTTGGTTTGTTTGGCATCCATTGGGTCATGCCTCAGACTTCTCGAGGATTGCTAGATATCTGGAGGGGCCAATGGGTGGGGGCTCAGGCTAGAGACTTCTGGAGAGTGACCCCTCTTTGCGTTTGGTGGAGTCTTTGGAAAGAACGGAACAGAAGATCTTTTGATGGGAAGGAGTCCTCTATTGGACAGCTGAAATTTTCTATTATTTGTACCCTTTTTTGTTGGGGTTGGGGGACGGATTATTCTTCTTTAGAGGACATTGTGGACTTTTTGGGTTCTTTGAGTTCATAGATTCTTTTTGTGTATATCTCGGGACGCGTTCTCCTTTTGAACGCTTTCTAATACATTTTACTTATCAAAAAAAATAAAATAAAATAAAATAAAATAAAATGATAAGCCTCAGTAGCTTTTTCTTGAAATTATCGTTATTGATTATGTATTCAAAAGACTACATGGAACTGATATGTCATGAATGATGATTGTACATACATATAAGCTATGGAACAAGGACAGAGCCATAGTAACTCGAGGTCAGCAGCTGAAACATATACAATGTAATAAAAAGAAACCATTACTAAGAAGTGGACTGGAGAAATCTCATTATAAGTTAGGAATGTTTTATTCCAAGATTACAGTCAATCCTCCGCAAAAAGGTTCTAAATACATATTCATCTGTTATATTATTCCAGAATAAAAAATGTGCCAGTGTGTATCATTGTATGTGTCTGTGTACGAAGCAACAAGGATTGATGAAAAATACGTCTTGAGTGTCTGACAAAAAGCTGTTTAATAGTCTTTTTTTATAAAAAAAATTAATAGATAAATTACCTTCTGCTCTATTCCAGGAACTTTAAGAACTTTCTTATTCACCTCTCTCTTGCTGCAAGAAAACATAAAAGAACAGAACGCCATAGACTGATGAGGTTGCTACAACTTGATGGAACCAATTCGTTAATGCAAAATCTAAATTTCAGAATATGATAATTCAACACAATATATATCTAAATAGATATATTTAGAAATCCTGCATCTTTCTATGTACTACAACAATGTAATCAATAATAAATATATCAAATTTCTTTCGATAGCAATTTTGCTGATACTTCAGTAATGGAATTTTTGGGAACCAATCAAACTTACAGCTCCCGAACAGTTTGACCCAAAGCCTTCTTCATTGTTACTTCAGTTTACGATGAAAAATCCTCTTCAACTGAAACACACTTCTAATTACATCAAGTAGTGCTGCAAAATAGACATTGACTAGAAATTTAGAATTATACCACAAAAATCAGATGCTCACAGTCAACAACTAAGCAAAGACAACTGCCAGCAATCACACCATGAAAATAACTTTCAACCATAAAAATTTTCAAGAACAACACTTTAGAATTTAACTTTATATCTCCCACAAAAACACAAATTCAACAGAACCAAAAACATTCAGAGGAAAGCGCATCATCACAAAAAAAAAACAAAAAAAACAAAAAAAAAAAAAAAAAAAAAAGAAGGTTTTTTTCCATCAAATATATATTCCGCATATTCCAAATGGCTAAACTTAGACAAACAAAAGAGGAAAAAACACAATGAAAACCCAATAGCCAATTCAATAGAAGAACAATTCAACTCTATATTTTCCCGAGCCTTTTAAACCCAATTAAATAAACGTGGGCAAGCATACACGAGAGGAAGAATTATGTGGAACATAACGCATCTGAAAATCTACACCACTGGAAGCAAAATACCTCACTAACAGCATGAGAATCTGAATTAAACAGAATTTCAAAAGACTACATCCGATATATTTAAGTTCAACAATATTTGATGAAACCAAAATGGAACATTAAATAATGGGAGGGAAAACAAAAAACAAAAAAAAAAAGAACACATTTTTCAGAAAGAAGCAAATGATTAAACATTATATACTATCTAGCCAATCAAAGAAACATTTCTTGAGAAATCAGATTATACACAAACAGTCATTAAGCATTGAACTGCATAAAATACCGAGCTGAATCAACGGTAGACCAACAAATTGAGAAAATTAAGAGCCAGAAGTGTATCTGAAACAGTATATGAATCCACATAATTCGGAAAACAAAAGCAAACCCAGATCTAATATAGAGAATAAGAGATCGAACCTGATCGAATTGGAACCGATATCGGGCGGGAAAGAGAGTGCCGAGGGCCAGATCTGAGAGACGGTAGTTGGTGCTTCTGAGTAGAGAGAGAGAAGAGAGGAGATTAACGACGAACGGTAAATGCGAATAGCTTTAAAAATCGTATTTAAGCTGTAAATTGTAGTAGAAATAATACGAGAAGGAAGCTATAATTTGGTTCTCTCTCTATAATTTTTATTCCGGTTAGAGAGAGAAAACGAGGAAGACAGCGCACCTTGCACGCAGGGATTTATGGTTCCATTTTTTATTTTGATTTTTGGTTGATTAACGCTCTGTTTGGGGGAAAAAGACAAAATAAAAGTAAAAGAAAAGAATAAAGGAAATTTTAAAAAAATGAACTTGAATAAAAGAGAAAGTATTAACGCTTTGTTTGGTTTTTATAACCGTAAGGGAAAGGATCGTGAAAAGGAAATGGAACAAATTGAGAAGGAATAAGTTTAGTAAGGAAAGAGTAGAATAATAAATGAAAATAAAAGTACCTCTAGCCTCTAATCCTCTACTGGACTTTCGGGCATTGAATTAAATTTTTTATTTAAAAAAAAAAAAAAAGAGCATAAGATACCGTCTAAGATTTGAATTCTCTTAAGCGATGTTCGACTATATAGAATTAGAATTTTAAAATTGCTGAATTTTAAACAAAAAAATTGTCCAATTTTCGCAAGTATATGTTCTGCTGCATAGAATTAGAGTTTTGAACTGGAATCGATAGAATTTGAGAAATTTTTAGTTCAATTTTTTTAATTGTTTTTTTCAAATTCCACCAATTTCAATTATAATGGTCCAATTCCATGCAACCGAACACTTCCTAATTCTAATTGTTTTTATCAAATTTTAACAAATTTCAATTCTATAACTTCAATTCCATTCACTGAACTTGCCCTTATGCTGTGTTCGGTAGGAAGAAAGGAAGAGGTGTGGAGAGAAAATAGGAAAGAATGAACTAACTTCCTTTATTCGGCAAAAATGATACAAAGAAAGAAAGAAGAATAGGAAGGATTCGTCCTTTACAAATTTTCATTATTGTAGAAGTTTTAAATTAAATAGTATTCTAAATTATACATATTTTAGTACTATACTCAATAAATTACAATATTCTAAATATTATTGAATATAATGATAAAAATAATTAAAACTTTTTCTCTTTTGTTAAAAGAGCATTAGAGTTGAACAATTTTTTTTTTTTGGTTGTTTACTTATTCTCTTCTTCTTATTATTATTTTTTTTTCAATTTCATATAGAACTTTTATAGTATTATTTATCACATAACCAACACATAAATAGTCTTCTAGTTGGTATTTGGTAACATGTCAAACAATATATTTTGCTTGTTTCCAATCCTCTCATTATCCATATATAGGTGGGTGGGTAGTTGGATGTTAACCTCCCATTCATGTTTTCCTTTATTATTATAAGGATCTCTCTTAACTACTCTGAAATTGCACTACATTATTATTCTCTGTTGCGTTGTCCAAATCAATTTCTCGAAGAAGGGCATGGTCGATTGCAACATTATATAATCCAATTATCAGTGGGTCATCATGGTCGTTTGAGTTTGAAGGACCTCAACTTGCATATCCTTTCTTTGACAATCATGAACTAACTAGAAATTATTACATAATTCCATCAAGTAACTAAGCTAAAATGCAAACAAATATGTTAATTTTATTTTTTTAAAAAATTTACTTACGAGTCAACCAGTGATTGAACCGGACCATACAAAGTCATTGAAGGATTTGCATGTCCTTTCTTTGGCCATCATGACCTAACCATTCACAGTACTGAAATCCAAGCCCTATGACCAAGTCTAAAAAAAATGATTCAGAATAATGACTTTTTGATTTTCCATCCTCCATGTATGCCCATTACTAACCTATAAAAAGGAAAAGTTAAAAACAAAAAATCAACAACAACAACAACAACAACAACAACAACATTGTGCACGCTCATTTGGGACTCCTTCATGTCCAAAAATTGTTTCTTATTCATTTTTCTGTGGCATCTGCCACTTCTTTAACAGTGGCAGTGCTCGATCATTTCCAGCATCAATAAGCATGCAAGAAACTTTCCTGATCTCTACCAATACTACTTTAAATTAAGTTTTCTTCCCTTGCTCATCTATTCCCAAGCTCTTACTTCTGATGCCATTTTTCCCTGCAATGCTGGTGGAAGCAAAATCACAATTACTATTTTCTCCAGTTTTCGAGCTCCCCAGCTGTAGTTTTTTTATCCGGATTCCCCATACCATCCTCCTCATCGAAATGCTTGCTTCGCTCAACATCTTCATCAGCAACTTCAGCAGGATTTTGATCCGCTTCCTTATCACCCCTGCATTAAGATCAGAAGCATTGGTAGCCAAATACTAGTCAGCTAGTGGCAACAAGGAAATAAATTTTGATAAAATCACAAGAATTTCTGATTGGATCACCACCCAATCAATGGACATGCCAACAATAGTCGTTTCAATTTATTTTTTTTCATGTGCAAACCCATTTTGTATTGGCAGCAAAGTTGCCTAAGCACCACATGGACCATTTCCCAAAAACAGATGAAAATGAGTCAAAATCTTCCCCAAACAGGGTTGCAGCAACCAATTTCAATGGTTGCGTCACAATATAAATCAATTTGCCAAAAAATTCTTTTAAGCAGTAAAAATACTGGATGCTCACTTCATCCTGTTGGGGGTATCCAACCCAAAAAGTTATTCTATTTGGTGGAGTGACCCTCGCCCATATAAGTCCCATATTTCTTTCTTTACCAACCTATGTGGGACAATCGATGTGGGACTCGTTCAACTACCCAACAATCCACCCGTCAGATAGGGGATCTTGAGTTCACATGCGGCTCTATGGGACCTGGCTCTGATACCTGTTGTTGGGTTGGGGGTGTCCAATCCAAATGGTTAACCTATTAGGTGGAGTGACTCTTGCCCCATATAATTCCCAGATTACCGATATGGGACTCGTTCAACTACCCAACACATCCAAAGATCTAGTTGAATACAAAACTATTTCAAATACCACTACAGGTCTCTAGCACCAAACTCAGCCCAATTTAAAGATATTGTGCAAGAAAGATTCCTATAGATGGAAAAAACCTATCTGAATTTGTGCCAAATATCCATAAACTTTCATGTGACCAGTTTCGGAAGTGGGGATTCTTCCCAAAATGGTTACCATAATTTTCTTCAACTATTCTAAATCGGAATTTTTGCATTTTAGAATAAATACTAATACTATATGACAACCTATATCAAAAGAACATTGACCCTTCCATGAAAATATATACATTGAAAGGGATGCCCGAGATAAGCTGGGAGCAAAATGAACTTTGGTGGTGTTTTATATATGTTAACATGGTAGTGCTGCATGGTATCCTACAAAGGGTATGAATGAATTGAACTATCAAGGTTCAATGACTAAATCTCTGACCATACGCATAAACCAAGCTCAACCGTTCAAGCTTGGTTCAAGTAGATTCAGCCATGCTCAAGCTTGTACACAAGTCAAACCAAGTGTGCCAAATAGTGTGATCCAAAATTTTGTATCTGAACAATAATTGGAACTGATAACTATAAAATGCCAGATCCTCTTTCACAAGCCTAATCAAAAGGAGGGTAATTTCCACCAGCAACTGGACTAGAAATTCAACCTTAATCTTGTTTCTAAGATGGTAAACATGCTTGAACCAGATGAATAATGAAGCCAAGCTTCAGTTACTTTCCTGTTGCTTGTTTTATTTTAAATTCTATTAAAAAGGGAGAGAATTAACAAACAGAATAATTGCAATATTGCATACCCCGAATAGACAACAAGTCCAACAGCAACTGCAGCAAAGGCTATGAAGTACATCCAATCGACCTGAAGAAAAAAAAAACAGCTTCAGATTACTAAATTAAAATTCTAAAGCATATAAATGTTATCCTTTGAAATTATAACTGATCTGCACACTCAATAAAATAATTAAAGTTTAATGTTCTCATAAACCTTTTGATGGTATGCAAATATGCGAATCAAAACTGCCCACATGTCTGAGGTTAGCAGAGACAAGTTTAGCATTGTGGACCCACTGATCTGCATGGAAAAGAGAGTTGGAAGAAAATTTCCGATTGCACAAATAAGGTGGAACTACTCATAACAAAGATGTGAAACCAAAAAAGTGGAAAACTTAATAAATTACTCAAATAAATTGAATCTGGTTATGATAGTCGTTATAGATTGTTCAGCCAAAAGAATAATTCAAAGGGCCGTTGCTTTTAACTAACAAGAGTTTTGAGTTTAACGACTTTGTCGTCAGTACGCCAATATTATTTACATTTGAGATACTGCAATAAAACTACATTTAGAGAAAAAAATAAAAATAAAAATAAAAATAAAAATACTGAACCAACCCAGTAACATGAATGTGACAGGTTCATGATCCAGGGACTCTTGGCCATCGTGCAGGGAAATCAATGTTTCCGTTAGACACTGCAAATTAGGTAGGGAAAATTTTGAAGAGCCCAGATTCTTTTTGGCCTTTCCCGTCATTTCGACACTTCCAACATGAATCAAACCATTCCTCCATGCCATCGTATTAAGTGCATACCTTCTAACAAGCCGTGTCTATATCAAACCCGTGTCAAACAATACTTCTCAAATATTTCAGGAGATGCGTGCAGAACATGCTGGATGTATCCAAAACTTAATGATAAAATTATTAATTTGATATATAGAATCAATTTTTCTTGAAAATTCTCCAGGATGTGACCAATTAACCATGGACATTGAACTGTGAGTGGAGAAAATATAATTAAAAAGGAAAATAAAAATAAAATTTGTTGAAATTTTATTAAAAAAAATTTCCATATATTATTGGAAACCGCTTCCATTTCCAAGCTGCTAGTGCATCATTGACCTTAGTTTCACATGGTTATACCATCATAGACGCTTTCCTTCATCTGATTTCAGTTGGTACCACCTCAAACTTCTCATGGATGCTTTCATTCTTGGAATGTCTTTTCTTCTATGGCCAATTATCCAACTTAACAGTCTTACTTCAGCTACAATTATCATTCTTTTGACACTTTCAACTTAACAAAACACTACTCCAAGCTACTTTTTAGTCTTTGTTGCACATGACTAAGCTGCCCTGACAGCATTTTCATTGATTTTCAAATTTTCAATAGGTGTCAGCTTCATCTTCCATGAATGAACTCCTTTCTTATTTATG